AACTATGTGGATCATAACAAATTATAGATAACATTGAGAAGAATGGGAATCCCAGAACACTTAATTATGTTCATCGGAACTCTATACCTTTTGACGTACTGTCAGGAGGAACAAGTCCTTGGAAAAGGACATCATGCTGGGGATGTTCTTGATTAGAGAAAGATAGGAAATCCTCCAACAAGATGGATTGACAAAGTGGTTATAACAATGTGATTGAGAATATCAGAGATTGTGAGGCTGGCACAGCATGAGGTAAGGTTGAGATCTATTGTTCATATGGTCTCTCACCATGGACATATTTGAGTCTAATGGCACCTAACAACAACAACAACAGACCCTTAATAGGATGATGTCGTATGTTGACTGTAACAGTCAAACATATCAAGGCAGGGCAGGGTTTGGTTCAGATTTGCTGTTCATATGGTTGTTGTAAGACATTGTCGACTTGAAAGCTCTTACTACCAACAAGAACATCATATTGCCCCACAGAGTTCACTCAAGCAGTGTTAGATAGCCTGGGGTTTGTTTCTATGATGAGAAGAAGAGATAGCAAGCTTTGGTTTTTTGGTTTTGTTTTGTTTGTTTTTATCAGAAAACAAAATAAAACAAAACCTAACCAACAAACAATAATATCCACAAAACAAGACCAGTGCCATTGATTTGATGAAGATCCATGGCCATTTCACATGTATCAGAATAAAGCTGTGCTCGATGGCACAAAACAATAACAACAACCTTGAGGTTTTGAATGACAAATTTTTCAGACGTAGATTCCCAGTGTACATCTGATGTACTTGAACCTCCACACTTTCTCAACAGTTGAACTTGTTAACCATTTACTCCACTCATGGACACCTTTCACTGCCACACTGGCTTTCCAACTAAATTCAAATTCTAGAATACTCTGAGTCCCCAAATCTGTCTTTTCTCACCCAGTGCTTCCTGTGCATCATAAAAAAAAATTCTTATCTTTCTAGATGAATCTACTAGAGCACACAACACAACTTTACCACGTATGTGTCCTTGGAGCAAGCCACTTAGCTCCTCTGAGCCTCAGTGCTTTATGAGTGAAACTGGGCTAATATCTTGCACAGTTTGGTTAACATTACACATATTTCAAGTGCCTGCGTGGTGGAAGACATTCAGAAAATGGGGCCCATTTTAATTTTTAAACAATGCCTGAAGGAGATTTAAATAATTACTGTGGAATTCATTGTTAATTGCAGTCCTTTCCTTGCAGGGCATTGAGAAAGCTTTGTTGAAATTTTACTAATGGAAAATCCCTTTCCTATCTGTGTTTCAATTACCTTTTTTTTTTTTTTTTGCTGTTGCCTGGGTCCCTGAGAACCTTTAAGAGTCTCCTGTATTGACATGTGCTGTGTCCTTTCCTAGTACTCCCTCAACACTACTCCGTATTAGACCAGTTACTTTCTTCTATCAGGGCTGATAATTGAATTACAGAGAAGTCTTAACTTCTTTGACCGTTGTAGGGGGAAAAAAATCAGATGTTCAAATCAGTCGTCCTCAATTCTATTTTATCTTTCACTTGCACTAGCTATTTCTGTTCCTATTTGCTGCTGTAGAGATCCTTGTACTTGTGGAAATGGCAGTTCTCTTGCATTTTGCAAAGCACCTACATAGTGCATGTTGGAAAGTACTTCTTTCTTCACTGTGTGGCAGAAGGATTTTACAGGCTGCCATAGCTTTTGGCAGGGAGAGCAGGACTTCCAAGCCAAGCACTACTTGAAAGACGCACTCCGCTCACCACATTTAAGACTACTCTGTGGATACTGCTCATGACACATTTTCAAATAGACCCCCCAGTGGCTGCAGCTGTGATTAAAAGCTGTCTGCTTTCTGCCTCACTGGGGGTTTGCTGTTTAACCATGTCATGCACATACGTAGGCTACAGCTGCATCATGGAAAACGTAAAGCATTTTGGGAGATGAAATATCAAATGAGTGCTTGAATGACAAACTCCTGAATTTTCCAAGCTCAAGTCACGGAGAAGCACTAGTTGGCAACCTATCCATGGATGAGGTACATAAAAGTAATTTAAAGAAGAAGAGCTTAATGGTCAGTGAATATATACCATCTGCCAGTACATGCTTTGCACACATCAGCCAGATTGAACATCTTAAAGATTTAAGTGCACTTGAACTTAGCAGCTGCATTTCAGCTCCTCCACGAGATTCAGGATTCAGTTTGACCCTTCACAAATAAAGCTGGAGTACAATACTCTTTTTCAGTCCACCCAGATATTCAGTGATGCATAAATACTTGTGTTTGTCCTATCATATTGGTAGTGAATGCCATTCTAAGCATAAGTTTTACCAGTGTCTACATCTTTTAAAAAAGAATCTGAATAAGCAGTGTAGTCACAGAAGCTGATTCAAAGCATAGGTTATTTAGCACAGGTTCTATTTCTAAAAAGAATAGTCCTTTTAAGATTAGAGAGATTTAATATTTCACCAAGTAAAACGTGTGCACTAGAATTTAAATCTGGACTCTTTATTTCACTTAATAAATATATGTATTAATGTTATAAAGCAAAATACCCCTGCCTATCTTACTCAACTAACTCAATCACAAAAATCCAAGCTTCAATTCCTTCTTAGCAGTAGTACAGGACAGAAATCTGAGATTTTAGTGTTTTCCTCCACAAATTTCAAGAGCTCCCAATCTCAGTGGATGAGCACAGTCAACAAAACACTAATCCATGCCCAGCAAATTTAGGCTTACAATAATGTGAATCAACCACATTGATTACATTGATTATATTTCAAATATTTACAATATGGTACGACAAGCCTAATTTATTTTCTAAAGAGTTCAAGGAAGGAATCACCATTTCAGAGGGGAAAACAATGGAGCGATGTTTGTGGTTGCTATCTGCAATAATCTAATGCTGACAGAGAGTAGTATTTTATTTAGTAATTAACAGTGTAAAGGGGAGAGGAGCTGTCATGTTGGTTCTTAAGCTGGGGAATGTGATGAAAGATGATATCTGCGATCTCATCCTTTCCACTTGTTTAGGATTGTCAGGATGAGAAATGTCAGCATTATGAAAGCTCGGCTCTGCTCTTGATATGATAAAACCCTTCAAAAGCCAGTCTTCCTCTCTCTCTAGTCCCCCTCCTTTCTCACTCTCTCTCTGCACTTGCTTTTTTATTTATCCTGTTTTGTTAGATGGCAGAAATATAATTCTTTTCTTTCTTCCTATTATAAGCCACCATTTTTGTTTTATTATATGTTTCACAACCCCTAATGCCCCACTGAAAATTACCTTGTTAAATGACAGTGTTTCAAAGCCATGAATCCTTTCCACCATTCCCTCAGAGGTTTGAAACAGTCAACAGACTGTAAAGAATAAATAATAAAAAAGTATTGATTATTTTGATGACTGTGAGATTCAATTAAGTATTAATTTTGCCCTCCAGTGGACCTATCAAGGTATTCAAAAGGGAGGATTCGGCTCAGTTAAATGCGTGCTGAGTGCTTCAGCCTTAAATAGGGAGAAAATGTGTTTACCTACAGTATTTGAAGAAGAAGTGCATTGATGCACATAGTCCAATATTTAAGTGCTGTGCAAATTAAGCCCTGGTGACAGTGACATTGTTTTCAGTGGTATGAGTATTGACTAAAGAAGTGCATTTGATGACAGCTTAAACTATTTGTATTGATTAACATTTTCATAGATTATCATGTGTCATATCAAATTCACTTTTCAGGCATGAATACATTAAAGAAAAAAAAGGAAGCCCAACACACAGGGGCACACCGCAACCAATGTGATGCCAGGACAGGAGCGACGCCCCACCTGCTCTGGCTGGTCACCTGTTCCTGCTCAGGAACCATTTAGGCATGAACTTGGCAATAAAAGCTCTAGGAAAAAGCAAAAAGGGCACCTCTTGCTTTTCTTCTCCTTTTGCATCTGATATTTGCTCAAACAATATAATACCCCATAGTTTGCAAATGGAATAAAAAGGCTGGGCTTGGGAGATCTTTCTGCCCCTCTAATGTCCTCCAAATGAGCTGAAGATAACTCAGATTCAATTTCTGGGGGGAAAGTTTGTCTTTTTTTTTTTTAAAGGTGGTTTTTCTTTCATGTTTTTGGGCGTATGATGCATTAGCTAGCCGAATGTTTGGACACAGTTTGTAAGTATTTTGACATTTCCTTAAATTTTTAAAAAGAATTTTTTGTGGTGTTGTGGCTATGGTGCTTTTTTTTTTTTAATTTGTTTTGGTTTTGTGCCTTTTATCTTTCTTTTAAATTTTCCTGTGCTTTTAAAATTCTCATTAGGTTTGGGCTTGCTTTGGTCCCCAATCTTCACTGGGGAAGTCCATTTCTGTAGAGGTGCTTATAGAATTTACGTAAGAAATCGCGTTTATCCCCTTCAAAGAACGTTTTGAGGAGTTTTTTCCGCCCTATCTCTTTTCTCTGCTCTTCGGAGAGGGTTTAATTGCTTCTCCCCCAGGGAGAAGGTTTCTTCAAATAGCCGGGCTCCTCCATACGGTGCTCCTTCCCCTTTCAGCATGTTGCTGAAGTCTAAGTCCGACACTTTGTTTTTTCTTGTTGCATTAAAGACAGAACAAGGTGTAAAAACATTCGCACAAAAGCACATTCCATGATTAGGGTTGTGCTGGGTAGGCTGCTTTCGAAGAAGTTGGTTTTTAGTGATTTGTTTTTGGTTGTTTCCCCACCACCACCCCCCCGCCCTGCCTTTGGTGTTTCTTTTTTCCCCCTCCGAAGCCTGCTGAAGCTCACCCATGCTAGTTGAGCTTTAATAGGGTGGGGAGTAATGGAAAACTCATCGGATCTGTAATAGCTCTTCACTTGACTGCAGCCAGCAATAACAGCGGGAGCAGCAGAGATAAGAGAGGAGAGAGCGAGCGTGTGCGCGCGAGAGGAGAGCCAGCAGGCGGAGGACGCGCACACTAACGCTGCCACTTTTTTTTTCCTTCCTCCCCTTCACTCTTTTCCCCCATCCTAGGATCCAATGATAGCTGGACAAGTCAGTAAGCCCTTGCTGTCAGTGCGGAGTGAAATGAATGCGGAGTTGAGAGGTGAGGACAAGGCTGCTACTTCAGACAGCGAGCTGAATGAGCCCCTGCTTGCGCCCGTGGAATCAAATGACAGCGAGGACACTCCCAGCAAGCTCCTGGGTAAGTGTGTCGAGGTGCTGCCTTGGCGTCCCACCGTGTCCGGAACTGCAAGCTGCACCCCCTCCCCCGCTCATTCCATCCTCCCCCCCGCAAGTCCTAAAGAGGAGCTTCACATCTTGGAGGTGCTGTGCCAGCCGTGCGCACTGATTCCAGGTGGCTGAGACGGTGTCCTCCAAACTTTTGGCAAGAAGGAACTTACAGTCTAGACATGTCTGACTTGTCAAATCTTACCAGAGTCCCCAGGACAGACATTAGGTTCTTGAAAGAAGAAAAGAAAATGGGACTAGTAATCAGGAAATCAGTTCCATTGTGAAAATTGGTTAACATTTATTGAATAAATATCGACTCTGATTCGGGTTGTTTTGCAGCCTTTTGTTAAAGGGAGGGAGTCAGAAGTGTTATTATCCGTCATGAAAAGGCAGGCGAGGAGAATTGACAAATATCAATACAAGTCGCTCAGCGCCAGGTAAACAAAGGTGGCTATGGGAATTGCGAAAAATAACATTTTGTAATCCCAATTAGAAGGAACACTTCTCTGAAAAAGGAGGTGAGGGAAGGATCTAGGACCTGCGTGGTGACTGGTGTCCCTCTCCCCTCTGACATGTGTTCAGAGTCCCATGCTCAAAGAGGCAGCTCCCCAGGACCTTTGAGGAATCTTTGTTTCATAAACAAACCAAGAACAAGCAGAGTGCCACTGCAGCAAAGACATCTGTCATTCAAACAGATGACACTTTGTAAACCAACCCGAGCAACTGTGATCTCTAATCAGAAAGGGGGACGAGTTGTTGAGGACATGCCTGCCTGATGGATGTTGATGGATGTCTCTGCTGGAGAGGAACTTTATGGTGCAGAGTGATGTCAGGTTTCCAGAGCAATTGCTTCTGAAACACTTAATTACTTTCCAGTGTGTGTGTGTGTGTGTGTGTGTGTGTATGCATATAAAACTCATAGATATATACCCGTATTTAGGCATATATATATAATTTCTTATTCATATTATAGGGTTGATTGCTTCCAGGCTAAAAACTATCTTGTGCCAGAACTTCAAAGAAAACAAGCATCATTGTATACTTTGAAGAAAACTTTAGCAAAAAAGGTCATTAACCCAGTTTTGTCTTTTTTAAAAAAAAATAATTTGTTTATTATTTGAACCTCTCTAGAGCAGTTTAGCAACTCTAGGCCAGCTTCAAAAGAAGTCTTTTCTCTGACTTTTAGCATTGGGTATACCTCAGAGAAACTTTCTTTTTCACAATGTCTGTGGGCAAAATGCTGTTTTGTATTCAAGGAAATGATCGATTCCCATGTTATGACATTCAGTGATGTTACTCTTTCTTTAGAAAGCAGCAATTCCAATCTCTGACATAAATTCTCCAATCCTAAGCATTAAGATTTTAGTAATTTTCACTCTAAAGAAATACTTTGTTGAAGTCTTAATTCTTATCTATGTAGACAGGCTTTTGTTCTAAAACACTTTACTGTTTTAGTAAATTAGTAGAGAAGTCAGCAAAAACTATAAATTAGAGCAAAGTAAAAGACTGTAAGACAGAGTACCCTAGTTCTCAGTTTTGTCTTAAAAAGTAATCAATTCTTATTTCAACATAGATGCAGATGAATTATTAAATCAAAAAGAATTTGTTCCTTAACATTGCACACATTTTTAAAGAAAAGTAACTGCATTTTATGTCTTGGGTTTGTAGCCTCAATTCACTTTCTTTCAATTAAACTAACATTGGGGCAATTTGGTTTCTCAATATTTATTTAGGTTTTCAAATGGTGACAATTACTGTAGATTTTCTTTTGTTAGTTTTTACTGATTGACATGAGTAAGAAACTAAGCTTGAGAAAATTCAAGAGAGCAAAGGTATTAAAACTAAAAGTATGTTTACTAGAAATGTGTTTTAAGTGGCATATTCTAGGTCTAATTTCCTAAGGAGTTATAATTTAGTTTAGAAATCATCTTCATGATCTCTGAGCATGACAGATTGTGAGAACAGTGCACGATAGGGCAAGGTTCAGATGACTATAGGTAGCTGTGCATTGTAGTCAACTTGATGGCAACTAACAATAACAACAATAACCTTCATTCCAAAATTTTCAACTTCTGAGTTTGTGAGGCAGGATACAAAAATATTCTATATCTTATATTCCTTTCATTTTTAGGATATAGAAATATTCCATGTCTTATATTCTTTTTATAGTTATTTAATTGTATTTTGTCTCAATACTAATTTTCACACATTTTTAGTATATTTCAGTTCGCAATTAGGTAAAGAAACAACCAAGAGATGACTGGTTTTGAAAACTTAAGGGACAATAATGGAGACAATATGAGTGAGATAAGAACACACATTGGAAGGAGAACATCCACATGTCATCCTAAGACTTCTTTAGCTCTTGGGTCTACTGTTATGGACTCCCTTTGTCAATATTATCGGACAAAGCCTGAGGAATTTTAGTTTGTGTAAACGGACTAAAACAGAAAACTTTTTAGAATATTCTCTTCCACTGGGAATATTCAATGGATGATAATTTTGTGAAAATGTTTATACACATAAAAACCCCCTTATTCTGTTTGACATGAGCATGTTCAGGTCTTTCCCTTTTTGGTTTTTTAGCTTAGTTTTAATCATACCCTTCCCTTGGAAATGAAGAACTGTATCCTTCCTGGGTAGCTAAGAGAGTTCCGTGCTTTCTTCTAAATAAAGCTTTTAAAGTATGTCTCAAGCCATCACCTGTGTTACATATACATTATATTCTGGAAAATTGCTCCTAAAATGAGAGCGGCACACGAGCGAGACCAATCATGTGCATCGTGCTATGTTTATTTTACAGAGAGACATTACCAATCACAGGAGATAGGAAAAACTCAAATTTGTTATTGTGCTGAGATTCTAGTATAAGTGGATTTCTTGAGGCTTATCCCTGCATCTGTGTCTTGCCCAAATTAGCAGTCCAGAGGACAAGTCTGTTTCTCTCACAGTATGGCATCTTCAGCCCAAAACTGCGGGAGGAAGGCTAATGCTGATGCCTTCTATGGATAAACAAAGGAAATTCTAGGAACCACTGGCCTTTTATGCCTCTCCTTAAATTGCACCTCTGCACTTAACAGCATCTAAAGGGAAACATACTGTGCAGAATCTTTCAGTGCCCTGAGCAGCTCAGAACACCAGACAGACAGGCGAGAAGCCATCTGCCAGCCTTCGTAGAAAGTTCAGAAAAGGGCCCTTGTGTTTTATAAAGTAATTACATCATAGGTAATATTTTGCTTAACTTGAGCAGCCACAGAAACTGAAGTACACTTAGGAGACAAGAATCCCCATTTCATTGAGAAAGATGTGGTTGGGTGGTTCTCTGTGATATCATTAAGTTATGCATTATTTATTCTTGAAAAACCTGTGGAATAGCAATCTCCTTTTGTGGCTCATAACTGTGTTATATGCTAAACTCTGTGCTTAAGAAACAGTAAGCAGATGCTGTGTGTGTGTGTGTGTGTGTGTGTGTGTTTCCTTAGAATCTGGTTCTGTGTTGCCCCGTGCTACAGCTGTGTGATGCTATGCAAGGCTGGTCATTGGTGACCTGACCAGTGTTGCCCATACTTGACTCTCTGCTTAAACTGGTCTTGGGCAAAAGAAAGAAGTGGCTGTGTTTCTCTCATGACATTTATAGCGTCTGTGTCAATGTGGTGCTTCACTTTTAGATACTAAGCTTTTAGTTATGCCCATCAAGAATTCCGTGGTCTCTATTTGGTGAAGTTGGATGCTAAAATTCAAATGGTAGGTAGCATCAACAAACAACTTGGTCAGCAAAATGGTACAGAAAGGATAAAAGTGATATATGTCCTAGAAAAATATTTGTACTAAAATTTTTCATGCAGTCACTTTTACTCAGCCAAAGTGAGCCCTCGTAAAACATGTCCTAAATATTTCCTCCCATCTATATATTTGAGATCTGAAAAGTGATTTATTAACAGTTTTGCTCCTTGAAAAATGTCATTGTTTCAAGTGAAATATCACACCTGCCTTCCTTAAGTCCCCGTGACCACGGGTGGCTGCTTTGAGTCTCTGTAGTTTGCGTCCTAATTGTTCTTCATTGCTTGTGAACTGAAGAGTGTACAGCTTTTGGGCCTAGAACTGAGATGCAGACAAAAACACACTTAAAAACATTGTACTTGACATATAAACTAGTGCTTGATTTTTCTCTCATCATTTGTGCTTTGCTGGGCTAAAAAGAATTCATGCAATGAGACTTGGGAGAGAGGGTATTTGTAGTGTCATTTTCTGTAAACTATTGGAAAAGGGCTGTAAGTTGGGACAGTGGTGCCTTCTGGCTAGGAAATGCTCTGTTTGTAGGGGTTTCTCCTTCACTTTTGTCACAGAAAATATGCATTGTAAGATTTTTTTTTTCCTCCCTAAGAAATTGCAATCCAGTTTGACTTGATTAGAATTTATGGCAATGGAGTAGTTTTCAATGACAAAAGGATAAAGGACTAAATTGTCTGTCACCCCTTGAGACAGTGGTTTCTGCAGGTCAGCATGGGGGTCACTGGCCGGGCATTATGGGGACTGCATGTCCTGGGGATGCTCTCTCGAGCCTTTGCACAGTGGAAGTCTTTCTAATGGTACAGCTCTCTTTATTACTTTTTAAAAAATGTCTTTTTTGAGGTTTCAGTGCAGTAAATATTTATAGTTTTCTGATAAAATATGATGGGAACAATAATCAGTACATAAAGCTTAAGTCCAAGGTAGATTTTTAGTTAAGAGATGATGTGTAGAATTCTTAAAAGAAATAAATTTCCTTAGCATATACATCATACTTTTATGTTTTTCAAATGTATTTGTATCTTATCAATTAGAAATTTATATTAGTTGCAGAAGAAAGTGTATTCTGCTTAGGGAGTATATATACATTTTTCAATCGACAAAATAATTTGGATATTAAGAGTTTGAATGTGAGCAAAGTTATTTAAAAGAAATCAGTAGAAACCAGTATTTGCATAAATA